AATCAATACATTTGATTTCTTTTACAACAATTAGGAAATAAACTATTACAACTTATATTAATCACTCTTAATTAGCCCGGATGTTAGCGCGCGAGGGAATTTAATGTGGGAGGAAACCGGAGTACCCAGAATAAACCCACATGGTCGGTCAGGTGACAGAACGGTCAAATGGCGTTATGTTAATACGTACTTTGGCTGTGAGCAAAATATCGAGAAAGTCAACGTTCCTAGATCCGGCCTTCTCGCTCGCCAACAATTGTCTCCTCTGTTCTATCAACTTGTTCGAGTGTTCGTGTATTGTATCACATGCGTACTGAAATTTTCGTCTGCAAAATTTAATGAAAATTCATTATTCTATAAATCGTTATAGATTTTTGATAAAGTACTGATATTTAGCAAGGTGAAAGACTGACATCTATTGGACATAGTTTGGCATTCATTGACCCGTTTCAGTCTCTTAACATGTAGGTGACAGATGACAAACTATGATCAGGTTTGTATTTCCCTGGCCGTCAGCATAGGTTATTATTACATGCGTCCCCGCCTCTACTTGCTCTCTTTCTCTCCTAACTATATGCCTATTTGAGATTTCACGACAGGAATATATTGGGGAAAAGGACGATTTCATATCAATATCGGTAACAGAGATAATTGTTGCTTTTCTTTGACCGTCTGGCTCAGGAAACGATATATACATTGTTTCTTTAAGTTGTGACCAGGCGTAAATGGACAACTAGAAAAATAAATCGCAAGAAAAACAGTTTGAGATAGGTGACAAGAGGACAATGTTTATTCCTGGAAAAAAACTTATCGGAATTCGTACCAGTTATCGGACAAAAATAATGTTATAGTCAACCCTTATCAGACAGACAGTGTATGAGGGTTATATTTACCCGTTTTCAGACAGGGAGTATAGGAAACCAAAGTGATGAAGAGGGTTCATGATCCTTTTGATGATCAGGTCAGAGACGTCGTAGACACACTGGATGTACGCGGGGCGCACCCTGGTGGAGAGAAAAGAAATTACTGATTTTACCTATGTTGGTAATGTTAAGGCAACCTCATCTACTTTCACTTGAAGTTTAACTCCACTCATGGAACTTAATGCAACTTAATCTACACATATATTTCATAATACGTACTCGCAGTAGTTCTATTTTTGGTCTGATTTTGCAGATCAGCGACACCTACCGGCGGTAATTAGTAATATTTCACAGATAAATGGACCACGACTTCACCTGTTAATTTTTTTTCCATAAAATAGTTCACATGTTATAAATTGTAAATTGATGTGATAGTGTTATGTGACTGTATAGCCGCCGCTAAGGGTATGACAACATGAACTATAGATACATATACGTACGTTTCCAGCTGACAGTTACTATGGTGACCAAACAGACACTTCATCATGCTATCCAGCGTCAATAGGCTCATGTGATGAAATGTCTCAACACATCCGGGGTTTTCTCGCCATTTGCCCTGTCAGTGAAAGACCAAATGGTTGTTTAAGAGTGCGATGCAGAAAAGTTGCAAAGTGTTGAGAACCACAATGAAAATAATTTCGAGATTTTTCTGTTGGATTGTTCCATGAGCAGTAATTTTAATGTCATCTTTTTAAACCTCACATTGATGCCAGGCGCGGTTCCACCAAATTGTCAAACAGTAAAACAAAACTAAATCACTGCTTGTTGCACTCCTTTGATCCCGAACCAAGGCCCTGCCCCGTTGTTGCACTCCTTTGATCCCGAACCAAGGCCCTGCCCCGGACCTGCTCCTAAATGAAACCTCTCCAAACACGCCTCTGGACGAAATGTTGGCTCTGTTAGAGAAATCACCCCGATATGGATGTGGTTCAAAGGATTGCTCAATCGAATTAGACTGTACTCAAAATTAGTCACGTGTTACAGGGTCAAAGTTCAGCATAAGGCGCCATTCATACAAAAGCTTTACCAAAATTGTGAAATATTTCAACAAGTTTCGCATTTAGGATTTTTTGAAAGATTCGCTTAAACTGGACCTCACCGAATCCCAATGGGAACATCATCGCCATATATGGTCCGAAATAGTACGCCATGATATACTCACTAGGCACTAATGATCGGATATCATAAGAACCGTTGTATTCTACCAAGCACAATTTCGTCTGCAATTTTTATCAACTATACCTGTGCTGCGAAATGAGAAATTCTTAACCAAGGAACATCTTAGACTGTAACGCGAGTATTGAACTAATGTTTATCTCTAAAATCCTTTGAAATTGTTTTGACTTTTCTTGTCAGTCACACATAGGACTACGCAATGACTTTGTTTAATGTAATGGCGGGTCAAGTGTTAGACTATTTCGTATTTAACTTAATGAACGTAGAACCCATACAAATAGTTTTTCTCAGGTTTGCCAAATAGTTCTCTCTTCTGGATACTTTACATGCTATTATCCTTGTAATGCTACTTTTGCTACAAAGATAACCGAACCTCATTGAGGACTTACTAGTAAGACCTTCGCTGATTCGTTGAATATCTCCACATAGTGTTTCAATATGTCCATATGGAAGGCGGGAGTGAGCATGCGTCTGTTTCGGTCCCACTTCCGTCCACCTGACAGGAGCAAGCCGTCCCCTAAAATATGTTAACAATATCTTATTTCATCTGTTTCCGGTAAAGGAAAAAGTAAATTTACATCAAAGAAAACAGGATGTGAGGTTGAGAAAGACTCGATACATTTTTCATAGTCTCATCAGGCCTATATTAACATCCGCATGTCATTGCTATTATATAACACGACACAATTCATTTAACAATGATAGGACTATCTGGGGCGAAATAATATATAGTATAAGGCTAAACGGTTTATAAATGAACAACACAAAATCAAAAAAATATAAATTTAAAATAGTGTCTACAATTGCACCATTCTATATTAAATAATTCAAACTAGCTTCAACAAAGATAGAATTTTGTTAACAAGTCGGCAATAGTATCTGTTGAAAATCACAACAATGTAACTTTATCATAAAGCTTTCAACTGTTAATGGTGCAATGCAAAGAGACATCGAAGGGCTTGCAACGTGTAGAGACGAGATATGTTATCGCACTTTAACATTGAGGAGAATCGGAAATATTGTCAAAAAATTGGTTGACAAAACAAGCATGGGTTATTGAGTAAAAATAAACAACACATGTTTACACTTCACAAATATAACTAAAAACTGTTTGTCATTAAATATGAAAAAGCGTCATCCTTTTATATCGGTATTGTACTCTTTGTTATATCAATACGCGCATACTGTGTGCAGTTCCGTCAACTGAAACATCAGTAAAACGTTCCAAACGTGTAACAATGTAAAACTTAAATACTCTCCATAGCATGTTAATGCCGCTACTATTGAACGATATCAATACAAATGTAAGTATTGAACTGTTTTCGGATGAACGCAACCAGAAAAAAATGCTTGAATTAAGACTGTGAGGCCTCAGGCAACCCTTTCGCTTACACGTTTAACATGTCTACATGTCTCCCTTTACTTCCTCCCTTTCATCCAATGTTGTCTTTCTTGTTATGTTGCCACATGATCTATTGTTAATTTGTCGACGTTCAACAAACAACATGTTATCAATTAAACAGCAAAAACAAAA